AGTGCTAACACAGACAATAAAAATACAGTTTGTTGGTCGGCACTAGTCCACGGCATGTACTTTCTACTAACAATACAACAATGCAATGTGCCGCATTTAAAATTTAAAAAATAAAAATGAAAAATGAAAAAAAATGACACTACAGTTGATGGTGATGATACAAAGTATACTGCTCACTGCTGAGCAAACTACTAAATGACTGAACAAGGTGGTGGTAGCTTCATATCAGCTCATCAGTAAGACATAAAATAAGCATATTTCCTAAAATGCTGAAGGAGTTTCCACAGTAAAATAAATCCTGTCGATGTGTCCAGCAGCTACACACAACTACCTTTGTGTATAAATCTTGACTTCACTGTCTGAACCCACTGAATTAACACCTTGTTCAAACTGGGTGGATGTTTAGTCTAAGCAGGAGAGTCATTTGGGCGAACAGGCAGCTCGCTTTTAAACAGGGAAGCAATCAAGTGTGTTCCAGAGGATTGTTTCTTTTTCCCTCCTGAACTGTTTACGACCTGTAATGATTCACCAGAAGAAACAAGATAACGAGTTTATCCGGCTTCCCATCAGTCTTGTTTTCTTATTATCTCTCATCACAAAAATTCCTTCACTTATTAAAAGTGAGATCATTTGCAGTACAACGGCAAACAGGAATTAGAACTATAGGTGCACGTTTTAAATAAAAAAAGAGACTACTGTGATAGCAGCTTTGTGTGACTCCGGTCCCTCTCACACCGTAAGCGTCCTGCTGCTCACAAACTTGCCGTTCTTGTACTTGCGGCCGATGCTGGAGACCTTTCTGCCGTTGCTGCTTCTCACCGATCCTCCTTTCAGCCTCACGGTGCTGGCCACGCTCTCTGGCGCCGCTGATGTGAGTGGTTTCTTCTCTGTCACCTCTTTTGTGAAGTTGTGGAGGTTCTGGCAGTCACAGGAGCGTCCTGGGCCCAGCGGCCCCTCTCTCCTGCAGCAAAACCACTTCATGGAGCTGTAGAAAAGCTCTGCGATGCTGGAGAGCGCTGATATGACCCCTACGGCGAAGTAGAAGCAGAGGAAGACAGTTTTCTCCGCGGGGCGGGAGGTGAAGCAGTCCACTGTGTAGGGGCAGGGGAATCGGCTGCAGGGGAACTGGGCCTCCACCTTGAAGCCGTACAGGAACCACTGACCCACCAGACAGCCGATTTCTGCCGCTATGCGGAACATCACGTTGAGGATGTAGAGCCTCCTTAAGTGGACTTCTTCTCTGTAGTCCTGGCTGCTGCATCGGCTGAATTTGGAGCGGCTGGTCCTCTTGTTGTGCTGATGCGTGGCATACATGAGGTAAAGCAGGGACGGCGTAGCGATGAGGACGATGTGAAACACCCAGAATCTGTACTGGGAGATGGGGAAGGCCATGTCGTAGCACACCTGTTTACAGCCCGGCTGCAGGGTGTTGCAGGCAAACTCCTCTTGCTCATCTTCAAACAGGTCACTGGCGACGGTTCCCAGGATCACAATCCTAAACACGAGCATGAGAAAGAGCCAGAAGCGGCCGAGCATGGTCGAGTGGACCTGGAGGTTGTCGAAGAGTCCGCCGAGGAAGCCCCATTCCCCCATGACTGCAGCACTGTCGGGTACAGACTTCTAGGAATCCTGGAGATTTATCCACCTCTCGCTCTGAGAGAAAACGCTGTCACTGGTTATAAAAGAAACTAAAGCGGATATTATAACCTCCAGCTCATGACTAAAAGCGAGAATGGGCCAATCTGCCAATCGGTTCAGGGTTCATGCTGGGTGAGGCGCTGATTGAGTTCACGTATCAGTGAGCTGAAACCAAAAACAAAATTCGATGATAAAACCTGCAACATCAACAATTCAAGCACATCATTAAAATAATAAAACAAGATCAATAGCCTAGATTAAATCTTGGACTGTTTCTTTTGCTTTCACTTAACGTACATCTCAAAGATACTGTAAAAGCAGTTGAATCCACAAGCAAAGGTAAGTCATTTAGGACCTTTTTCAAGTCCTGTCCAATGAATTAAAACAATACATTTGTGCCAAAAGTGATATGACAGACGCTGCTCCCTCCCCACACACTTGAACTCACCTTTGACATTTCTGAATAGTCTCAATCCCTCACACTCGTGGAAACAAACTGCCTGGCTCGGCTGCTACTCTTATACAGCTCTTCAGACAAGCCGGTGGCAGCAAAAATGACAGAACAGGTTCAGCCTGAGACATTTTATCGACCTTAAGTAGAGACACGCAAGACCTAACCCCACTGATAAGGTTCAAAAATCCAGTTTTGCCTCTTCTCGTTTGTCTCCTATCACTCAGAAATGCCCTGGAACAGAAGGAAGATTTAAACGAGTCCTGCGGTGTATTCCTCTCGCGCTTTCTCCAAAGTAAAATGGCATGTGCGTGAGGTTTGCCGTGGCTTATAATTGAGAGGGCGGTAACACTTTAGGAAATTCCTGCTACGTCCTAATCTGCATCCATCGAGTCCCCGACAGAAGCGATGTTTACCCAAGTGAGGCGAACTCTTGGTGGGCATTTCAAAGAGCTTCCTAAATGGCAGGAAGGATCTGTTTTGAGCTGTACCACCAGTTTTCCTGCTAACAAACCATAACATGTAAATTATATAAAGTGTATAGACATAAACTATGATGCACAGGCAGCCGAGTGCATCACAAGCTTTGTAGTTTGAGGTTTAACATTATGTAAGCATGTTATAAATGCTTGCTAGTAGTCACATTGGACCAAAGTAAGAAAAATTTGATTAATTTTCTCAATCCAATTTATTTGTATAACTTAATCTGGTAATGAAATGTTACTTAACCATCCAGATCTCAACATGACCCATCATCTAACGCTCCTCCCTCCCTTAAACATGGAATTTGAACACTGCTGAAGCCTGTTCACACTGGCATAGTCACTCATGTTCCTTTAGAGGATTGCTGTGGCCACAAACTCATCGTATAATCAATACAAAGAGGTTAAACTTTATTTCTTATTAAAATCGAACAGCCATTGAAATATTTACAAGACAAGACAAAACACATATAAGTGGAATACAAAAGACATTTTAAGAACCTACGACTACGTCTTCTTCAGACTGAATCCTGACTTGTTTACAGGTTTAACAGCATCGAACACATTCTTTCTGCTCTTTGACAGATTAAAATTTTCTGCTAAAGGTTATACAGACAGCTGCTCTCAGGTCTGTTTGAACTGTGAGTAAACGCAGCTGTGCTTCAACTGATAAAAGCATATTAGTGGCACAATAAACACTACATGTATAACTTACTGAAGAACCGGATTTGCACTGTGATTTAAAAATCTTCATCTGAGTCGGAGTCTAGCATGTAAGTGATAGGTTTCCGGGCACGTGAAGGCTTATCTCGCGGAGCTACGGCTGGTGGAGCTTCTTCTTGGTCTAAACCCTGGCAGCTGTCATCCTCATCCCACTTCTTGGTTTTCTACAACAAACAAAAGTATTCAGGTGTAAAACATGTCACTGGTGCCTTAAAACACCAACAATAAAACATGACATGGTAAAATCCTGGTCCACGACAGCTTCAAAACCTTTCTGAAATCAGAGCTCAGTGTAACGACTGACCTTGTTGCCGGCTGATTTGGCTTTGAGGCGTGACATGAGGTCGTCCGAGCTGCTGTCGGACTCGTCACTGATGACCTGCTTCCGTTTAAGAACAGGTTTTGCCTTTTTAGTTGCTGCTATCGGTTTGTTCTCCGAGTCACTGGAGTCAAATGAAGGGACCTTCTTGGCAGGTTTGGACTTAGAGAGCGCGTCCAAGATAGACGGCTGCTTCACATCTACAAGGACAAATCAACAGGACAAACAATGTGTACACGAGGAAAGGGTGCATACGAAGAGCTCATTTGCAAAAACAGATCTTTGTAGATTTTCAGAAAACTTATTTTTTTATCGTTTGCTTGAGATAATATCAATCAAACTGAAGTTGAGTGGATTTGACTCAGTAGAAATGACAAAAATAACTTAAGTTTGACTGATATTGTCTCAGGTAGACGATGCAAAAGTGGGTTTTCTGAAGGTTTGTAAAGATGGAGTTATCTGTTTTTGCAAATGAAGTCTTCAATATACTTTTTCTTTTATATAGTGTGTACAACTATTAATGCTACATTGTGTCTTTAATAACTGAACCAGATGTGTGGATGGTTTTTGCATCTGTGCTACAAATCCGCAACACTACGCTGCCCTTTATTAAACAGCCTTGTGTCCTTACCTGCAAGCTTCTTCTTGGATGCAGCTGGTTTCTTGGCTGCAGCAGCTTTCTTGGGTGCAGCCTCTTTGGTTTTACGTTGAGCTGGAGCCTTGGGTGCAGGTGCAGGTGCAGGATCATCTGACTGAGCTGTCAAGTTCCACAAATAGCAAATAAATGATCTTCCGACCCTTGAGTCAACATTTCTACAGGTCATTGCACTTGTATCCAATGAAAATACTTACAGCTCGACTTGGTGTCTGTCTGTTTAACTGTTGTTTTGCTCTTTACCACTTTCTTCCTGCACAGACATGAGATCAAAATTTAATGTTGATAAATATAATGGACATGAAATGTGAGATCAGCTGTCTCATACTCACGCAGGTTCCTTAGCTTTGGGAGGCGGTGGGGATGGAGAGGATGCATCACTGTCGGATGAAGCGTTCGGGGCGAAACTGGTATCATCATCGCTGATGACGGCTCTCTGTTTTGGAGCTTCCTTCTTTCCCCAGTCGTCGAATTCATCTTCACTGTCAGACACACTGTACTTCACTGGAGCTTGAGCCAAAGAAAACAGAACAGACAGCTTTACTAATGCTGCCATGTATTGCTTCTTTCATTACTCATGCTAAATGAGTAATCAAACAGCTGTTGCAATCAGTCAAGAGATAAACTGGGATCAAAGCTAATTATCCTCAGGAAACATTTGTGGAGTGTTTACAGATTGTCTCACGATCTGGGTAAGGGAGAGCTCAGAACGGTGATCTGCAAAGCGTTTGGCATGTAAGAGCAAACTGAAACAGCTATTTGTCTGTGGACACATTTATCTATCAGATAATGGTTTGTGTCATCCATCAGAGTCACCTGCAGTTTTGCGTTCTTGCCGCTGTCTGGGGCCTTCCTCCGCCTCCATTGGACTGTCGGACACATCGTCAGACTCCTCATCTGACCACAGATTCTTCTTTGGCTTCTTGACAGCAGACTTGAACTGAAGAGTTGTCTGCTTGCCAGTCTTAGGGGCTGCTGCAATAAAGTGTGCTTCTTAGTCATCTTTAATAAAAATGCAATGGAGGTTCATTACAGTCGGTCTAGATGGAGTATTTATAAGGGCAATCAACATTTTTACTGTGTCTTAAATCATCCATCGTTCATGGTCATTTTTGCTGTGTGTGCTCTAATATAATCTAATATCCATCTTAGGCTAAGCACTTCGTTATTCCACAAGAGGAGTGTCTACTGGTGCAGCATTCTTATCTGACCTGCTAGTAAGTCTTGAAGGCAACACGTACAAACTCTAAGCAGTAGTGGAACATTTCCTGCTGTTATTGAATAGTTATTCTCACCTTTCTCCTTTGTCTGGGTTTTAGTTTTCTTGCTCAGTCGTGCAGCCAAGCCAGTTTCCTCAATTGGCTCTGGACTCTCTGCATCTTCTCCGAACTCCATCTTCATGATTACATCTTCACTCTACAAAGGCAGAAATGAGGTCGGTGGGAATGGTACATTTTGGGAGTGCAATGCACCAAAGTGTGTATAAGATGCAGGATAGGAAACCTTCCAAACACAAATCAGTTTTGTGTCTGACAGTTGTGATAATTCTGAAGAACTATTAAACAAAATATTCATATACTACAAAGCACACAGAGACAGTAATAGTCTAGTGGGATTGGTCTGACAACAAATGACATACCTTGACTGTTCGGACTCTCTTGCCCTGTGCCTTCCTGTTAGCCTCAGCTTTCATTGTGCTGGTAACACGTGGAACAACACGGCGGCCTTGTGGTGTGGGCAAAGTCTCCTGCTTCACCTTTGTCGATTTACCTTTTCCAGCCTTTCCCTTCTCCTTTACAGGCATAGAGGCACTCTCCTTTTCTTTTGCTTCAATTCGCTAAAATCAAGAAAAAGAAATATCAGAAGATGTTCCTGAAGGGAATGTTTGACAGTTACAGCTCTGAATGCAATCCTTTCTAAACTAAAGATACCCCATCTGCCCTCATGTGACTGACAAAGTGAACCTATGATTGAATGGAGAACACAATGAACAGACGCATAAGGACAATACCTCCAGCTCCTCTGAGAAAGCAGCAAGGTCTTCCTTCCACAGGTCAGCTGGAGCCTTCTTCTTCAGGGTGTTCAGCTCTGTCATCTACAGAACAGCAGTCGGGTCAGAAAAGGGCAAGGTTGACACAAAATAGACCAATTAACAGTTCTATTTTATGCTGTAACCATCAGTAAGTCCCACCTTAGCATCCCTCTGTTTGCACAGCTCATCTTTCTTCTCTTTGGTCAGGAACCACATGGGCATGTTCAGCAGGTAGTTGTAGTCGGGCCCGCTGTCGTCTTCTTTTTCCTTTCCTTCCTCCTCTTCCTCACCCTCCATCTCCTCGTCAGTCTAAAAGATTACATACAAGGTGGATTATTTAGCATTCCTGCTAATTTTAGCTGAAAACCATTTGAAGGAGAATATCCTACCTTCTCCTGAGCCTGTTTCCAAGCCTTGACTGGGTCCGAGTCATAGCCCATCCGCTGCAGCATCTGAATCAGTTCCTTTTTGGGTTTGTTCTCTACAAGCAGATGAGACAATGTTAAAAAAACAGAACACAGCTATGTCTTCTAAATTGTGATTTTCACTTGAAATATTATAATTTTAAGATGTTTTAAATGACAAATGTGAATAGATATTATTCAGCATTTGAGTTACGGTCAAAATTGGCATCCTTTTATTATTGTTAGTTAGCAACAATTTTAAAATACAAAAATTTAAACCTATTTTTTACGACATATTTCTGCAAATAAACTGTAAACTTGCTACTAACCAATGACCAAGGTGCCCTCAATCTTCTCCAGGATGAAGCGGGCCTGGTTGGTGAGCTTTGCGCTCTCTGCCCCCAGCATGCCTGCCAGCCAGTCCTTTCTCAGCACGTAGTACTTCATCCTCAGCTCAAAGAAGTCCTTGAGAATATCCTGCACAGACTCGTACTTCTTCAGGCTGCCTACATGGTCAAATAGAACCTATAAAGGGAGAACAGTTTGAAAACATGTTAAGCTTCCCAGAACAAAAAAAAAAAAGGGTACAAGAGGATTTGGGAATATACGTGGCAGTCGTTACCATAGAATTGCAGGTGAGGGGGCTCTGCAGCTTGAAGACTTTATGAAGGCCGGCAGCTTCTACCTCAATCAGTTTCTCTGCAGTCATCGTGACCACAAAGCGCACTGTGGTGTCAGTGTGGTATTCCTTGTAGTCTGTGATGAGAGGAGGAACCTTTTCTGTGCCGTTTAACATCGGCTCCAGCACGTTCTCCTTGTAGACCTAAACCATAGAGAACAACATGCAATGACACATAGAATGAATTCAAATGGTGTCAAAACTACTTCAAATTAATATGAATTCACTGAATTCAAGTCAGTGTTATAAACAGTAGAAAGCTTTCATGACCAACCTGTGTCCAGGACTTGACCGGCAATTCAGAGATCTCAATGGTCGTGGAATCAAGGATGGAAACCTCTCCACTGATCATGAACTGGTTTTCCATCACCTGCTCAATTGTGCCTCTGAAGCCTTTGTAACTTGGAAGCTATGAAAGAAAACAAAACAAAACACATTCATCATTTGTTTTGTATACTAGAGGACACATGATGGCAAATCCCACAAAGTCAGTCCCGGTCCTCACCATAGCCAGAGGTTCCTCGCCGTTGAGCATACGGTGGATGTTGCTGATGAGCTCGCGTATGTCGTGGTTGGGGAGCTTGCTGGACCAGCCTGTGCCGATACCTTCTGATCCGTTCACCAGCACAGTGGGGATGATGGGGATGTACCACTCGGGCTCTACACGTTGGTTGTCGTCAAAGTTGTGCTTGAGCAGGTTGTCGTCCACAGATGGGAAAAGGAGGCGGGCCAGGGGGCTATGAGTACAGACAGTTGGGAGAATTTTAGACTCAATCAATTACAAAATAAACAATGAAATGAACTCCCTGCATTTTTAAATTTGCAAATGTGTGGAAGGGGCCTATAGCTTTAGATTATTTGTAGTTTGTAAAGTGTCTGCTGACCTGAGCATGGTGAAGATGTATCGAGGGCTGGCAGAGTCTTTGCCACCGTGTAACCTGGTACCAAACTGTCCCAGAGGCTGCAACAGGTTCAAGTTGTTGCTTCCCACAAAGTTCTGAGCTAAACCAACGATGGTCATCATCAAAGAGGCCTGAAAATGGAAGAGTTTGGTTTAAATTAACAGAAACCTGGTAAATATACCTCACATTCCTCACAAGGATCAGCTGGTCAAATGTCAGTTTTCTATGAAAGGCAGTTGTGCCTTTTCTTTCCTCTAAATGAATGACATTTATTTAACCAGAATCTGATGCTGGGTTTATGGATTTCAAGATGAGTGTATCTCTAAAAAAAAAATGTTTGTTGGTTTCAAACAAATGTATTTCCCACACTAAATGACAGTGGCTGAAAATCAAACCAACAGGCTACATTGAAAAGACAGGCAATGTAGGCTTCATTGCATGTTTTATGAAAATGATCAGCACTGTGGACTCATGGACAAACCAGCATATTCAAGCCATCTTACCTCTCCATGGTGGTAGGCAGACATCTCAGCAACCGAGCCGGCCAACTGGGCAACCTTCACCTCCCGCTTGTCATTCCTCTTGAAGCAACAGAACAGCACCTTCCTCTGGCCTGGTTTCAAACCTGACACACACAAACACATTAGATCACTCCCTATACTTACAAGTGCTTTTTTTTTTTTTTTTTTTAAAGAGTTACAAAACTTGCTCTTGGTGATTATGTTCATTTCACGCACCATCCACCAGGCAGGGAATGGACCTCTCATTGTCAGAGTTGGAGAAAAGTACCAGCTCCTTGTTGACAAAATCATTGTAGGAGAGGGACTTGGTCGACTGACCATAAAGGTACTCCTGTGAAGAGACGGCAAAACGTGCAGTCAGACTTCATGGAAAACAGCAATAAAGCACATGAAGTTCACTAACTGTTGAGACATTACCTCAGGCAGGTTGTGCTCCCTGCGCTGACGCCTGTTCATCATGAAGTTGGTGAGCCACTCTTTTCGCTCGTCCACTTTCTTCTTGCTAAAGGCCTAGACAAAAGGAAAAATGGCCCAAGAATCCAACATTAGCCAGAAATTCAGATATTACTCATAGTAATGAGTTTACAGGAGGCTTGAAAAGCTCAAATTTGACATGACCCTGCCCAGGGTGTAAATCACAGTGGCTGGGCAGTTGTCCAAACAGATGAGTAACATCTTACAAGGGTGATAGCTTCATCGTCTTCAGGTCCGGAGTACTTGAAGGGGATACGATGCCTCTGCATATCAGAGAAGTACTCCTTGGCTTCCTGCGATGTGCTGGTTCCCAAACCTGGGTGGACAAAGGTCACAAAAGAAGAGAAAATGTAAGTTAAAGCGATGTAAAAACACATCCAAAAGTACAACCATGACATCAATCAGGAATGATTAGAGGCTTACTTGTTTGTTTTACTACCACACAGTGGTTTGTAACAAACCTTTGTAGTATTTGATTTTCCAAGATTTGTAGTTTTGCTGGCTCTCCTTCCATGCAGTGAATTCAGGGATACTGTAGAAAGACAGCTGAGTTTTCTTGAAAGATGCCTAAAGAGAGGAAAATAAAATGTTGGCAATGACTTGTTTGCTGGTTTCACAACAAAACGATCAAATTAAGACAACAATATAAAAACCACGGCAGAGGAATCATGTAAAAATAGGATTTTCAATTAAATGGTGTAAAACCGTAATCAAAACAGAACAGAAAGTGGCTTTGCTGTGAAATACATTCAGTTCTGAGCATTCTGGGCTTTTGACACCAGATGGTGGTGTTGTTGCTAGTTTGGGTGGACGAGTTACAAAGCCTGCACTTCTACTGGTGCACCTGCATATCACCTGTTTTTCACATCATTTGTTCTATCCCCAAATCATCCCACTTCTGCCCATAATATTCCAGATATCCCAGCAAAAATATGTAATAAAAAAAAAAGGACATTGCCTACTTAGGTTCTTTCTGAGTTATTTCAAGTAAAAATATTTTCCCAACACCACCCCAGGAATTTTCTAGTTCCAGTTTAGGGAGCCTGTGTACCTTGATGATGGGGGTGATGAACTCTTCCAGGAAGTTATGGCGCAGCAACGATGGCCAGTTGTGGTGGATGAAGTTGATCAGCAAGCCCTTAATGTGGGAGCCATCTTGATCCTGTCACAATCAAAGGAACGCAGTCATATTGTTATAAGATAATCAATACAGCTCAACATTAACACATGCAAAGGAAATATGTAACAACCTCAATATTATATAAAATATTTAGACAGGCCTTGAAAACTACTTTAATGTCGGTCCTGATGCCTCTCCACCACTATACTGTGAGAAAAGGAGTGCAAAATTCCCCTGCCCCTTTTTCACTGCAAAAATGCAAAGTTCAGCTGAGGCACATAAAGCTTCAGCATTCCAACTGAGCTAAACTAAGTTAGAACCTTCCAAGGCAAAAGATTATTTAGTGCAAATTTCTCTGTTGTCCAAATTGGTGTTTTTCTGCAGCAGAACAGTTTACTTTGAAATGAATCTGACTTTGCAGATTTAAGAGCTATGGCATTTTTTTTTTCAATTTGTGGTTTTGAAACACGAATAACTCTGTAAAAACCTGCTCCCACCAGCTTTCACTCTTCCACACTCCCTTGATACGTTCCTGCTGTTTACCCAAAGTGTTCGAAAAAGAAACAAGCAAAGGCTGTGAATTTTGTCCCCGGTTTCTTTACATTCTGATGGAAAAACTTCAGGGCCAAGATAGCGAGTATGAATAGTTACGACAACCACTGCCTATTCTCACATGCGTATATAAGAGCATAGAAACCAAACATTACAAAACAAACTAAACAGATGTTTGAGATGAAAAAGCACCTGATCTGTCATGATCATGATCTTGCCGTAGCGCAGAGTCTTGAGAGATTCTGGGTCGCCGTAGTTCTTCTTGTACTGCAGCCCAATGATCTTGATGATGTTGTTGATTTCAGCATTTTCCATAATCTGAGGAGGAAGATCAAACGACTATGACTCTCGTTTGTTTAAAGAGAACCCTGTCACTACACAACAGAGAGATGATGCTAAATATAGTGTGCTGTGATTCAATCAGTTGTTGCATTGGTGCTCTCAAATAGTATTTATCCATCTGTGTCCATAAAAGATAATTAGACTAAAAATATATGACCCTCCTGACGCCCACCACGTTCGCATCTGCAGTACTCCATTGTTGCCATCTAATGCCATAAAGGAAAACATTTGCTGAGCTTAACCTGTTTGTGTGAGGCCTCCCGGACGTTGAGCATTTTGCCTCTGAGAGGGAAGACTCCATAGCGGTCTCTTCCGACCACTCCCAGCCCAGACACAGCAAGTGTCTTGGCTGAGTCTCCCTCAGTAAGGATCAGTGTGCAGCCGATGGAGTTCTTCCCACCTGCAAGCAGAACACAGTTAGAACATGGTAACTGCAGCTCATCTGTATCTTCATAATGCTAGACTGTTAAAAAAAAAAAGAGAGAGAGAAAAGAAATTTGGTATATATTACCTGCATCGTTGGCATCATCCAGTTTTGGTACGCCTTTGATTTTTGTGTGCTTAACAGCTGAGCACTTCTTGTTGAGCTGGGACTGAGCCTTGAACTTCACCCAATTCATGATGCTCTCCACGATGCCGCAGGATGTGGCCTGTGGAGATCAAACGATGAAGAGCAATTAGTGAAATCTGAATAATTACACTCGTGAGGAAAGTTGAGGAGGTTTTTCATCAGCACCTGTTTAAAGAACTTGTCACTGAGGGGACAAGTGGACCCAAAGGTCTTCTGTTGCTTTGTCATGTTCTCTTTGGTCTGAGAGTCAAACGTCGGGTTCTCGATGAGGCAATTCACAAACAGCCACATGTGGTTTTTCACCTAGATGGAGATTAGGTAAAGCATAGCCAGTTAATGGACTTTGTTAATAGACAGCTATTCAGTCCAGTTGGGACATTGTAATCACAGAAACTCAAGATCCGAGTTTACAGTAAGATGACTCTACCTGGAAAGGTTTGACTGCCACTCCAGCTTTGTTCTTCTTTTTCACCACTTCAATGAGCTTGCCAACCACTTGGTCAGTCACATAGTCAATGTGCCTGCCTCCCTAAAGGTCCAGAAGACAAACAGAAGATCCCATTTACAGAATAAACGTCGTACGTTTTAATCATAGTGACACAAAGTGACCGGGAGAGCAGCCAAGCTTGTACTTTGCTGCCAAAAGAACCTGGTCCACTAGCTCAGACAGCCCTAAAATGCTTCATACTGCTCTGAGATGTAAATTTAAAGAGGGCTGACAAAACAAGAAAAATATTATTGGCACAGTATTCCAAGAAACAACTTAAAAAATTTTAAGTATTGATTTGGCATAAAGGCCACAACCCATACTAATTCATCAATTACTCTGCTACACACATACATACACAAAGCATGCCGCACAGAGAATCTAATAAACTGAGACATTACCTTGGTTGTGGCAATACTGTTGACAAAGCTGACTTGCTGGAAGCCTTTCTCGCTCATTGTGAGACAGACCTCCCAGCGCTCATTGACCTGCTCATGGATCACAGTGAGGGGACCGCCCAGCTCGTCCACCTTGTCCTTTACATACATGTCCACATAGCTACGGAAACCTGTAACCTGGAGCACAAGAGCGGTTGTATTAATCACAAGATTTACACTCTACAGGCTTAGGATCCACAGAAAGTGAAATTTCACAAATTAAAGTTAGACAAACTAATATTTTCTTTAGTGCACTGAGCACGTCTGGCCAGATGTATTACATTAATACACAGTGTGACTTATTTTAGAGATGACTGCAGTGGAAACAACAAGTGTCACTAAAAAACAAACTGTCTGACTTGCTTCATATTTTTTAAAGGAATTTACAAGAGTCAATGTAATCGGTCTTCACTTTCATCACTAGTCAGTGAAACTCATACTAAAACTCTGAACACAAAGACTTAAGCAGGAACAAGCTTTTGTACATTTTCTAAGCTGAAAGAGGTTACTCTGAAACTCATGTCAGCTTCAAATTATATTAACTTTATGACACATTTAATTTATAAAGAGCTACCTGACAGATAAAAGGCTGATATCAGGTGGAAAGTAATAGACAGAAAAGTGAAGGAGCACAATAACTTACTGGCAGCCTGTTTCCATTGAAGTACACCTTGACCCCCTTCGTGGACCCAGCAATGTCATAGGCCCTCCTGGTCATCAGAGCTACTGTGTCTTTGTCCAGAACGCTCATCTTAAACTTGGGCAGATCTGGCTTGAAGGTGATGCAAGTGTATTCCTCTCCATCAAAGGATTTGATGCTGGCATCACCTGTTCTGCCCATGTTGTCATACCAAGTCTGTGGAAAACATGAACATGATGTAAATTTACATGATCTCTTTACAAGTTACAATAATTACTCAAGGATAATTTCATTCATTGTCCTTCCTACCTGCTTGAAAGTCTTTTTCGACTCTTTACAGGAGGTCTCTACAGTGAACTTAGTACTGAAGATGTTGCAAAGCTTGGCGCCATATCCATTACGTCCACCTAAATAACGAGTATTGGTATAAAGATGTCAGTTAGGATCCTACTGCAGTAGCCTGTTCACACAAGATCCTATGTGTGGCCTCATTACATTTCTCAAGGTCTTTGGTAAAACTCTGTGTTATGATAAAATATTCCTCTTGGATTGGGATAACATAACCTCTGCAATTATTCAGTTTCTAATTATAAATGATTATAACAGTAGAGTAGACATATTTATGTATGATTACTTATTAGACATGTTGGTCATGCTACTAGAATCTATTGTAAATGTATTCTAGCATCATATGCACAGGTATATGTTATATTAAATGTTTTGCAAAATGCAGTCATAATCAATAGCAGAGAAACTAGAAAAACATAAACTATATTAAAATACACCAATGCATGAAGCACAGTAATTAAGATAAAACTGCTAGTCTCACCAGTGACCTTCTTCTCATCATCGTCATAGTTACTGGAAGTCAGGAGTTGTCCAAAGATGAGAGCAGGCACATAGACCTTCTCCACCTTGTGCTCCACTACAGGAATACCTTTCCCATTATTCCACACACTGATGACGTTGTTTTCGCTAGAAGAAAGAAAAAAACACTCATTTCACCATGTGCATCTGTTACATCAAGGAAACTTGGATATGAGGGTTTGGAAGCTTATAAGCAAATGGATACTGTGGTACAATTACAAGACATTTCAAGAGCTTCAGTGGTTGTGAAATGATCCACATTACTCACACATCAATGGTGACTTTGATGCAGGACATGCTCTTGTCCCTCTGCTTATTGTCAGCTGCATTTACTGTTGGGGGGATTTAAAAAAAAAAAAAAAAAAAGCCTCAGTAAACAAGGCCTGCCATGGGATGGCCAACATTATATGCCATCTAGAATTACAAGCCTTTTACTTACCAAGGATCTCATCAAAAATCTTGTAAAGGCCAGGCACAAACATCACCTCACGACAGTTCAGTCCAGCATCCTCATCATACACCCACATTTGCTAAAGGAAAAAGTCAATTAATGACTAGAAATATCACGTTTACATTCATATCACATAAACCACTGGTGTTTTGTTCTCCCAATCTGCATCCCCCATCAGCAGTAAAAACAAAAATCTTCACATTAACTCCTGCAAGATTTACCGTAACACTTAAATACAAGCAAATTAAAGAAAATTCATCAGTTTCAAAAGACACAGACATTGCCATGTGCATTCTTACTTGAGTGACAGGCTCTACGGAGCCTATGTAGGAGTCTGGTCTGAGCAAAATGTGCTCCAACTGCGTCTTCTTTTGATAGATCCTCTCCACTGACAGCCGCTTCGGATCTTTCTTCGTCTTTTCCACCGGCTTGTTTTCAAAGTAGCTCTGATGGAATAACAAAAAGGTCTTTTATGAGATTTGCACTGTGGTCAAGACAGGATTTGTATTGTTGTTACAGGTAACCTCTATACAATCTTGAGTTTTGATTTGGACACAGGCAATTTTAGGAACACAATAACTTTGTCTACTGAAAAAAAATTCAGTGACCAGTTGCTGTGACCTGATTTCACTGTTTCTCAAGGGCACTTCTGCAGCATAAAGGCTTGGACCAGGGTTAAACGTTGGCGTTTGCAGTCACTTTTAAAAAAATATTCAAACATAATAATTGTAGTTTCACACCATCTACCTTTATCTCTTTAATTTGAAGTCACATTTTCACCCGGTTTGAACTTAACACTGTTTTTACACTCAACAATACTGCATAATTGAATTATGTTTTTGTCAAATTACACAATAAAGATGTCCTTCTAGGTCCTCACGTATATCATTATTACCTGAACTGAAAAAATAAAATAAAATATGTGAACTCAACATGAATATCTGCAACAGTATTATAAAATGGCATAAGAAGACCTGGAGATGCAGCTAAATAGCTATATAAATGTTTTAGTTCACAATATCTATATGGACTATGTTGATGGTGTGCCACATGGGAAGGGAGCTGTTGTGTCACTTGTTTCATTGAAAAGTTCATTTGTGCATCTTAACATCATGCTACACATCGTAAGCCATAATTATGTTCATGCACAATCATGTAGCAGTACTTTAGCACTTAGCAGCCTGTTTCCTTTCTGTGTAGTTTAACGTATCCTCATGCTCTTATGTTTCTTTAATGCCTGAGTGGAAAACAACAGACTGCAGCACTGCGACCAAGACTAGTTTCCCCTCGATGACGATAAAGTTTACTCTACTGTAGCTACTAAACCATGTTAGCTAGTTAATGTCAATTATTGCTATTTTAACTGTAGCTAACAATAGCAGCAGCGTAACTACTAATAGTAAGTTAACAGAAAAGTTTAACAGTAAGTCTATAGAACAGAGAAAATGAGAGAATAAGAGAAAATGTCTATAGAACAGTAAAGCTACGAAGCTAGCGAGCTACCTAACGGTTGAAAAGAGGCTGCCCAGTAGTTAACAATATGAGCAGGCTGAATATTAACAGTAAGATAACTTTAGCAGTCAGTCAGCAGCAAACATATAACAGTAAAGTTACCTTCAGTGGTGCAGCCATTGTTTATGTTTCACTGCTATACCCCGCTGCCTGTAAAATCGGAAAACGTCGTCTATAAAGTAACAAACCCGGTCCCAGCTAACTCTAATGACAACGGCTGAACGTCTCGTTTCGGACTGACTTCAGAGTCAGTTTGAATATTCGAAAGTTAGTGGACGTCTCTCCCGCCAGGGGCATTGACCAATCAAACGACGGACCTCGTACAGCTTCCCTCCAATGAGAAACGCCTTCCACGTAAGTCGCCAATCACCGACGGTAGAAGCAACAAGAGCCCGCCTTCTTTGCGTCGCAAGGCCAATCAGCTTCCTAAGACTGAAAAGAGAGGAAGCACGGGGTTGAAAGAAATAAAATCCTTTTTTTGTTTAGTTTTTTTTTAATTTATTTTTTATTTTTTTAAAAGAGGAAGTGATTTGATAAAATGATGTGGGCAGTAACTGCCCACTGCGGAAATAAGTACTATATTTTGTGTGAGTAATTAATTGAATAACTTACTGACTGAGTGATTATTTCTCATGTCTATTTGAAGTCCTGTTCATATGGCACACACCATGCATGTTCTTCATCAAAACACAATGGTCAACACTGGCAAAAATAAGGTGAAACAACATTGACTATTAGTGTGAAACATCAATATGAACCAATTTTACAAAAAAAAACATTCCTGAACATTACCTATGTGCTGTATGTCAATATACATGGCTGCTAGCACATATTTAATTAATATTGTGATCACAAAACATATGAACATTGTATGATTTTACTTTGTTTTGGCTGTCAAAGCACTTGACAGCACAAAATTCTAAGTTAATAATAAATAATTATAAGTTGACGTTGAACTTTATGGGGTGGAAGATGATCACTGCGTGAGCAAAGTCAAAATCATTGCTCATTTGCCATTGGCTAGCAGAAGTTTTAATTGGATATTATTAAATATGCATGTTGATTAAAGAGCTTTTTAAGCTTTTGAGCATATTCTTGATGAAGTAATTCCAGGTTAGTCCTAATAAAATAATTCACTAGACTGTACCTTGTATAATAATTAAGTCATTAGATGTTAAAAATGATATTTTTAAGGCCCATCCTTTAGATTTTAAAACGGTCTGCACTTATATAACTCTTTTATCCGAAGCACTTTACAATGTGTTTCTCATTCATCCATTTGCACACACATTCATACACCAATGGCGACAGAGCTGCCATGCAAGGGAACAACTTCAGGTTCAGTGTCTTGCCCAAGGACACTTTGACTATGGAGGGGCGGGGGACTGAACCGCCAACCTTGCAACTAGGGGACAACCGGCTCTACCACCTGAGCCACAGCCAGGCAAATGATGTACAGACAGATCTTAACTGTACACAAAGTGATCCTTGACTCTTTCTGAAGTAATAGTATGGCTCAGAGACAATAATGATGTGTGATGTAAGCAGATGGGTTTGGCCTCAGACTAAATATCAGCAGGTTTTTCAATTTATTTTTTTGCCTTTCCATGATAAAAATTGCATCTTGTACCAACTCAGAGTCTTGTCTTTGTTGATGGCATATCACTGAGGCTACCGTATCTTTTTGAAGCGTACCATATTCTTTGAAGCCCTAACGTGTTGGGATTTATAGAGATCAGGGAAATTGTGAAACCTCAGCTGCATAATCCATTTGACATTCATAGAGCAAAGAGAAACTGCAGCAGTCAACATCTGTGCACATTCAATTTTATTTACATCTTGTCTTGAACCTATACACGTATGAAGTCAGCAAATAATCACACATATTCCAAACAGCTAAGTGTTCATCTAGATAACACACAAGTAATCGCATCCAGGATAGTGCAGATGGCAGCTGCTTCTCACACGCTAGAGATAAGATACAAAGAAAAGCATACAAGGAAAATTTTGATCCACAAAGAATGTTAACAGTATTCACTAATGCAGCTCCAGATCAATATTTATAGCTTTAATTCCCAACAAAAATCTTTCAAAGAAGCACAACGATTGCTTCCTCGGTCGTCAGACAACCAAGCCCTCACCACAACAAGCTCATCACTACTTAGATGCCGGGAAAAAAGCTCAGCGATTTTATCATCTAATGATTATCCCATCGCTAATTGGTTCCATTTAGTCACTTGGGGTATAAACCACAACCAACCTTTTAAATCTGCAAAAATTGACTTACAAGAAAATGCTCTGTAATGTTTTCTGGGAGTGTGGTTGAACATAATGTGTGGATTTTGATTCATTCGTCAATATCCTCTCCTCCCACTTTGCTCTCTCTCCTTCATTTCCCTCTAGTCTATCTGTCACACACACATACACACTGTACATGAAAGCTGCCTGAAAGCTATAATGTGGTTAATGGGTTTATCTCACTAGAAGTGTGCCGTTGTAGTTTCAGGATACTCTGAAGCTGATGTGTTTTCACAGCTACCTATCACACATAGCTTTACTTGCCTTACCTGCTGATGTGTTCAGCTGAGGTAAAAAGGTTCAGAAGTGCAATATGTGAGAAAGAATTGCTAAAAAATAACATAGGATTTTATTCAATCCTAAGCAAACATGGGTCTTTATATTTCTGGTCCAGTGGCTATCAGTCAATGGAAATGCAGTAACCTGACCGTCCTCCCATTCTTATCTGTCTTCCTCTGCCATGTTGCCCACTCATCTGACCTTGGCATGAAAATAATAGGATGGAAGAGCATGAGTAGAGCTGCTGTAATCCAGCAGATGTAGTTGAGTGTACGTACACAAATACACCCACAGCTGCGCACATGAATGAAGGTGCAGGCACACATCGCTGTTTGATTTTTGCAATTGGTATCTTCGGCTTCAAAGAATGATTTATTTCTTTTACGACATATAAAAGAATATGCCCACTGCCCTCGTACCTTCTGTGCCGAGGGGATCAGACATGCTACCTTCTAAATAGAATGTTTTTGTACTGGAAAAGAGACAGTCTAGGCTCAAAATGTTGTACTTTTCCAAGAAAAATAAAGTTTTAAAACCAGGTGTTGAAACACGTTCTATCACTTTGTCAAAGCTGGAGTCTATCCCAGCTGACTCAGGGTGAAGGCAGGGAACACCTTGGACAGGTCACCAGTCTATCAAAGGGCTACACTTAGAGAGAGACAACCAAGCACACACATTCCATAGATGTGTTTTTGGACTGTGGGAGGAAGCTGGAGAACCCAGAGAGAACTCACACTGCACAGGGAGAACCGGGAGGCAACGGTGCTAACCACTGAGCCACCATGTAGCCACATGTCCATGTGGAGTCCAAAATGTGTCTCTAGTCTGGACAGTCCACAATGCTACTACACTACAAGGGAAACAGTAGTGTTTATGTACGGAATACGTAGATGCTGCAAATTTTTGCAGTGGCGTCTCCCATGGACTAGAAAGTAGTTTAACAGCAACAACTACACATCCAGGGGTGTCTGCAGTTGTCCATGTGTGCATTAGCATGAGAGTGTACAAAGATTTAAAAGGATCAATACCACTTTCATGTCTGTTTGGTAGTGTAATCAAGCTCCACACTGGCCGATCTACCGTGCATTTATCCTCCAAGTGGACTCCAAGCATTTAAGCAAGGTGGTGTAATAACAACAACGTCCACTGGGAGTATAATCAAGGCTTAGGAAGATCAATACCGCCCTCATGTCTGCTTAATAAATATGGAACTAGCTTTACCTATTCATTTAGTTTAGCTTAAAGACATTATTAAACCTGGCTCTGCCTAAAGACTACAGAAGCAGCTTTTCTCCACTTTTGAAGCTGACAGTGTATCTCGTTTGATAAATCTATACAAAAACATATGCTGAAAGACAAACAGTTGGTAGCTTTGTCTGGGTTTTGTGTTGGTTGCCTGGCTACTTCATAGTGATGACAAGGCTGTCTGCATCTTGCCAGCACACATTGTAGTTTGTGCAAATTGTTGAACTATTCTTGCATATTTAAAATGATAAAAACCTGACAAATGATATAGGTTTGTATATGTAGATGGGCTTCTGCTATGATTTTCTACGTGTAGTCATTTTAAAATGTATCTATCTATTGTAAGAGTACATCAATTTCAGGTAATTTATACTTTTTGGCGTTTTTTTTCTTTTTTTGCTTTAAACTACGCCATCATTGTTCTAACCCTGTAACACACTCACACACAGACTTCCTCTTATCTAGTAGTGGGCAGTTTGAAACAGGCAATACTAAGTACTTAGCATCCAAAAATAGTCACCCAGCAAAGTAGATGGACTCCCTCTCAGTACCACCTGCTTTCCTGTTTATTTATTGATGGCTCTGTGTTTTCTAAGGCCCGATGAAGCCTGACTGTTGGTGAAGTGGGGGAGAAAGAAACTTGATGTGTCACAGATCTGTTGATAGCTGTCTGAAGAGGCTGTTTGGGGCAGCCTGATGCCTTGTGTCATACAAGGACAGCTCTGCTTCACGGACATTTGTGTGACGGGTAAACAGCTGCTCCAACTGAGCACTTGACAAGCACATCAGCGCTTGTTCAGGAGAGAGCTTGGGTTGTGTAAAAGGTTTATCAGTTGACAGCGATAAGGATGTTTTTCAACAGACATCTTTTTTTTTTTCCCCCTTGATTTTGGCTTTCCATCCACCATAAAACAAAGATCCTTGAACTCACAATCAGAGCTGCCTGAAAAAAAAAACTCATGGATACATTCAAGAATATAAGTTTTAGATTGTCAAATGGAAAAGCAAAATGGAACCACTTTCATTAAATACATTTTGGACTTCTTTAGCTCAATAATCAGACTTAATTGCAACACTCTGGCCTTAATGGAATAGTTCTGAGAAATACTTTTACTCTCCCTTTCGAACTATGTCTCTTGTCTGTCTGCCAAATATGCAGCTCCAGCCAGCAAACAGGTTAGCTCCAGACTGGAAGCATGGGAACCTATCTCATATTCTTCACGGTGAGCATGAGCTCTTACCCTCTGGCAGATGATAAAGAGCACACCAACGTAAACTCAATTATTTGAAAAACTCATCTGTGCCTACCTCAATTAAAATTTTAAACAATATTGATTAAGGCTATGGGGGTTGTGCAATGGTTTTCTGGGGTTCTCATCA